CTTCCTGACCTGTGTTTAAGATTTCACATGAGAACAATGAGATGTTCTAGAATTCTCATTTTTCAAAGTATATTCCATCAAAGGCCTTTAATAATCAATGAAATACATATTGACTTATTTCTGGTATTCTTTGGCTTTCTGTGTTATTTACTGTGCATCAGCAATAACGTTACTTGCTCCTTGGCTTTTTCTAAAACCAGCTTGGATATCTCCCTTTCCATGTAGGGCTCATCTGAGTTGGATGATCCTAAGCATTATTTTGCAGACATGTAAAATTAAGAATATTTTATGGTAGCTTGCACACTTTGTTAAGCCTCCTAAGTAAACTTATATCTTTGAATCTGCTGGCCACTGTGTCATTCTTCAGATTTGCTGGCATAGTTTGGTTAGAAGCTTTACAGATTCTTCTTAAGTTGCTTACCATATTTCTGTAGATATTCTATCAATTCCTGTAGCCTTCAAACTGGTAATGAACAGAGTGCTTATCTAATGTTAACTTCTAGTATTACAGATTCTTATAATTAAGGAATATCTTCTAAGGTGTCTTGAATGTTGACAGAATGTCAGGATACGCTTTCCATCTTTGTCTAATCTTGTTTCAATCAGTACATTTGCATCCTTTAGCATATCAATTGGAACCTCCTTCTGAGCTCTGAGAACTTTTGGGGAACTTTCCTTGTTTTTCCCTGTCTGTTTTCATCTTTAATGAAATGTCATTGAATACACATCTCGTCTTTTCTAACAGTGGTCTGAAATTCTTTGTCAATTCCTTCCTGAGATATTTGTCTTTCTTGGCTATGACTTCTTTTCTCTTCTTGGCAATTTCCACCATTTGTTCTGACATCCAGTATGCTTTCTTCTATTTCCTGGTCTTTGACAGTCCCTTTTCACAATCTTTCTTAACAACAATTTTTATTTCATTCCACAATTACTCTAGTTCCCTATCAGTGAGGTTCAGGACTTCAAAGTGATTCCTGATGTTCTTCTTGCAAATGGTGGGTTTATGGTCAAGATAATATTGTGAAAACTGGTTGGCTTTGATCCTCTGCTTTAGTTTAACTTGGAACTTGCACATAAGCTATTCATGATCTATTCCACAATCAGTCCTTGGCCATGTCTTTACTACAATAAATGAGTCCTTCCATCTCCTTGTACCAATAATATAGTCAATTTGATTTGTGTACTCCATCTGGTAAAGTTTTGGTTGCTGGGAGACTGTCTCATAACAATTAGCAATTAAGAAATCATTGGATTAACAGAAATTAGTAAATCATATCCTACTTCATTTCAGTTTCCTAGGCCATAATTTTCTCTGTAGTATTTCCAACTTTGGTGTTTCAGTCTCCAGTCACAAACAACACATCTTGCTTTCATGTTCTGTTGGTTTCAGATTGACTTTAACCATAAAACCTGTCAACCTAGCCTTCTTTTGCATCAGTGGTTGGAGCATAAGCTTGGATAATAGTTATATTAAGGGATTGTTCATAAAGTCTAATTAATATTACTTGGTCATTGATTGCATTGCAGCCAAGTACTGTTCCTATGGCATCCTTCCTATCCTTTCTTCCTATGCTACACCCTTCCTAACTATAAAAGCAATACCATTCCTTCTTTGTTTTTGTCTATTGAGTAATAAATAGTATGATCTTCTGACTGAAAGAATCCAATTTCGATCCACTTCAGTTTGCTGACACCTAGGATGTCAAGGTGTTGTCGATTCATTTCATCTCTTACTATGTTGAGCTTTTCCATGTTCATGCTTCTTACATTTCATGCTCCCACTGTAATTCTGTCTTTGCAGCTTCAGATTTTCTTTTCCTGCATGGTAACATCACTACTAGACTCCTGAATGCTTTAATCTAGCCACTTCATAAACACTGAAATAACCTCAGTTCTTTCTCGGTAACATGTTAAGTACCATCCAACCCGAGGAACCTATCTACCAGTGCTATATCATCAGTCACTTTTTATTTTCTATTCATGTGGTTTTACTGGTAGAATACCGGAGCGGTTTGCCATTGCCTTTTCCTGTGCAGTATGAAATGGCGCCTTTGTGATTCTCATTAAGTGATCATCTACTTCTAGCATCTTTCTATATTGTAGATGCCCAATGTAGGTGCTTGCTTGCTTTGGCTGGGCAACTGGGATAATCCCCACACCTTGGGTGACCATGCTGGGATTATATGCTCTTGGTATATAGTCCTGGTGTTCTTCACTCATCCATCTCAGGAACATGCTCCCACCATGGTGAAGCAGTCCAGCAGGACTTGAGGGGGAAGGAAAACAAATCAACTTATTCCCTGTTAAACTATGCCCTGTTCAAACTATTGCTGTTCAAAAATAGTATGTTTGAATAGTTGTAACTAGAAGAATAACGTTTTAGTTTAAGAAACTTAAGAAATTTGTTCAAAGAAGGGGAAATATAAATTTCTTACATTAAATCATTATTTCAGATGTATCACAGAATTCGCCATTCAGAATGTATATATCGTGTAACTATGGAAAAGCTTTCATATCATAGTGTTTGCACAGCAGAAGAATGGAAAAATCTAATGGATTGCAAACTCCCACCACAACTCTGCAGAGATATTGAACTGTGCGTTTTTTAGAGTATCTTTTTTTAATGTTGAAGTAAATCTTGATAAATATTGTGAATGCAATAGGTTTCATTGTTAAAGGGCCAAATATTTTGGATTAGATATGGATATCTTACGATACATAGCTGGAATCAATTGGGGGAGGAGATTGGATCATTATGGAGCAATTTAATATTTTCCTCACATGCTGTGATCTTAAGGAATATTCCTTGACACACATTCACCCAACTGGCCTATTATTATTTAAATTGGGTTGAAATATTCTATAAATATCAGTTTCAGTTGTCTACCTTCCTTTTCAGTATTGGGATTTCCTTTAAGTCTATATCTCACTAGGGAGTTAGTGGCGAGGAAACTGTTGATAACTGTCTCACTTCTGACCAGCAGATAATGCTTTAAATATATGTCCTGATAAATATACAGATGCTCACATATGCTGGGAATATCCCATGGTTCCATAATAACCATGATATGTTAATCATTTGTGTAAACAGAACAGTTGATTGCAAATCTAATCTCTGCTGCACACTATTGTGTTTCCAGTGCACCCAAGTGTTTTATTGAGTTCAGTGGCTGGGAATAAAACACCTGCTGTACACAAAAACAATGCAGGGACACATAGCACTAAAACAACTGGCAGCTCTATCATTCTGATCCTTAACATGAGGTTATGGATATTGACATCACAAAATATAACCAAATAACAAGATAAAATATAATGTGAAATGTTTGGACTGCATTATTTCATTTTACAATTTTTTAATGACACATATTTACCATTTGTTACCACTTAAATATGGTACACATTTGTTATAATTAAAAGTACATTTTATTATCATTTATTGATTTGTGCTATCAAGTCAGTGTCAGTCCTTAGTGGCCACCTAGATAGACTTGATCCAGGATGATCTGTCCCCAATGAGGCCCTTCAGGACTTCCAACAGTGCACACATCACTACTGTAATCGAGTCCATTTGCCTTGTGCTGGTTGTCCTCCTCTTTCTTTTCATCTTTCCTAGCATCATAGAGTTCTCCTAAGAACGAGGTCTTTGCATAATGTGTCCAAAGTTTAATCATTTGAGCCAGGTTATTTGTACTTCAACTGAGAACTCTGGATTGATTTGTCTGATAATTGTTTTCTTGGTTATTCATTATCATCAATACAATAATTTATTCTAATTGGATATTCAGATTTCTAAATATTTATTCATCATACTTTACATGCAGCTTTTGTTTTTCTTTTTCAAAGCCTGGGAAGTTATGTTTTCCTTTATTATTATTTTTTTCTTGGGATACTCCATAAAGGGTCTTCTTTGTGGATAGTACAAGGTTCTTCAAATTCTGACAGCTGTCATAAAGAATATGTTCTTCTCTATCCAGCTAAGAAATCTAGAAATATGGATTTTGTTTTTAAATCATGCTTCAAATAAAATTTGTCAGGGAACTTACATATATTTAATTGGATCCAAGACATATACATAATGGCTCCGGTGGAAGTGGACTTCTTCATCCCTCCCATCCATAGTCTGAAAATGGTACAGAAATTATTTGGGAGGTTGGTGATAGATGTTATGGAAGTGCCGCTATCTGAAGCGTCTCTATTCTCTTTTCCCACACAAGTAGTCTCATTTAACAAGTTCTAGCAATTTTTTGTTTTGTTTTATAAAGAACTAAACTTATTAATACATGAGATGGTTACATATTTCTGTTAGAAGCCAGTATGAATCAAATATGCATTATTGCTACTTGACAGAAGGAACTTTTGTTAATGTTCAAAAGAAGCAATTCTGATAAATGAAACTAGCTTTGTATATTCATAACTTTAGTAAATATGCAAATAGTTTTATTTCTCCTAATTTTATATTTCTTTTTTTAACAGATTCCACTTTGACATTAGTCCTTATGAAGATTTTTGGCCAGCAATTTTTGTCTATATGATCCATCAATGTTGTGGACTAGGCTGGTATGATGTCTTTTTTAAAATTTTATTTTTTTAAAAAAA